ACCATGGCCAAAGTGATCACGCGAGAATTGATGCAGGTGTTTGCTAGACTTGGTTTCCCAAAGGAGGTCATAACTGACCAAGGGACCAACTCTATGAGTACCACATTAAGAGAGATGTGGCGCCTTCTAGAGGTCAAACCAATTCATACAGCTGTATATCATCCACAAACTAATGGCTTAGTGGAACGTTTTAATAAAACACTCAAGGGTATGTTGAGGAAGTTGGTTATGGAAAAACCTAAGAGGTGGCATGTGTTAATAGCACCACTTATGTTTGCCATTAGGGAGGTGCCACAAGCGTCTACGGGTTTCTCTCCTTTCGAGTTAATGTATGGTTGGAATCCTCGGGGCATTCTGGATTTGGTGAGAGACAAATGGGAAGAAGGGCAGGATGATGCTCAAATTACAGTACAACATGTGATGGAAATGAGGGATCATTTGAGGACTGTCTTGGGTATTGCAAAAGATCATTTGAGAAGTGCCCAAGAAGGACAGAAAAGGAGATACGACCAGAAAGTAAAGGCTAGAGAATTCCAACCGGGCCAGAAGGTCTTGCTATTGATGCATTCGGAGCAAGCTAAGTTATTTGCTACGTGGCAAGGCCCATATGAGGTAGTAAGAAAAGTAGGCCCGGTGGATTATGAGATATATATGTCAGATAAAACGAAAAAGAACTGATCTTCCATGTCAATTTACTAAAAAAAATGGAAAGAGAGGGAGGCTCTTTGGGCCACTGTACATGGTTTTCAGGCCTACTGGCAAATACTAGCATTTTAGTTTTTTCATAATTGACATTCAGTTTTTCTATTGCTTTCAGCACCCTCCTTAACCCTTGTTCTATTTGTGTAAGATGGTGTCATCAGCATACAGCATACACCAGTACAGTGGTGCCTCACTTAATGATTGCCCCGCATTACGACAAATCCACTTTACGATGATATTTTTGCGATCGCAAAACGATGGTCTAAATGGGGGGATTTCGCTTAGCGATGATCGGTTCCCTGCTTCGGGAACCGATTTTCGCTTTACAACGATCAAAAACAGCTGATAATCAGGTTTTCAAAAATGACCACTGGGTGCTTAAAATAGCTCCTCACTGTGCCTAGGGACGGATTCCTCGCTATACAGGCAGCAAAAATGGCCGCCATATGGAGGATCTTCGCTGGACAGTGAGTTTTTACCCCATTGGAATGCATTGAACGGGTTTCAATGCGTGTCACTGGGGTTTTTAATTTCGCTTTACGATGTTTTAGCTTAACGTGATTTTCCTGGAACGGATTATCGTTGTTAAGCGAGGCACCACTGTAGTGTTATTTTTCTGGATTCCAATTTAGGAGGAATTGTCATGGTTGCTCAGCTTAGTGATTAAGGAGTTGATATAAATGTTGAACAGTGTTGGAGCTAACAAATGTCCTTAACAGACCCCTTGGGATCAAACCTGATAACAGACCTGAGTGTTTCATCCTGACTTGAATCTTAAGTGTCAGAATAGAGGTCTCATATCAGAATAAGAACCTAAGAAGAGCCCTGCTGGATCAGGTCAAGGGCCCATCTAATCCCGCTTCCTGTATCTCACAGTTGGCCCCACCAGATGCCTCTGGGAGCACATAAGACCACTAGATAATAGAGACATCAGCAGTCTTTTATCTACACAGGTTTCACTTAATTTATCCCAGAGGTGATCTTGGCTAATAGAGTCAAAAGCTGCTGAGAAATCAATAAATGCCACATATAGGTTTTTAGGTATACCAAGTGAGATAGAACAAAGAAGTCCTCTACTATTGAACAATTACATTGAAAGCCTTCTCTAATCATCTCACTAGATTAAAGCTAATAAAAATTTTTGACCAATATTCAGCATATATTTTGGAAGTGAGCTAAGTAACGCAGCCATGTTCTACCCTATCAGTTTGCTGGAGTGTCAACCAGCTTGAAAAAAAAATCTGCCTTGAAGATGCTCCAGGACAATCACTGGACACCAGCGAAGTTGTCATATTTTCTAAACCTTTTTATAAGCTTCTTGATAGTTTAAGAGAAAAGTCTTTGCTGGATTTTGAAGGGATTTTGAAGGGGTTCCAGCTACAGTGTGATACAGTGAAATAGGGTAGGTTATGTTGAACTATATAGCAACCCACTATGCTATGCATGGGCTAATTACTAACACAACTGGTTACATGATCTCCTTTAGAAGAGAAAACTATTAACGATCCCATATATACATATACAGTGCTGCCTCGACTTACGAACTTAATCCGTATCAGAACGGTGTTCTTAAGTCAAAATGCTCGTAAATCGAAGCACATTTCCGATTGAAATACATGGGAATGGGATTAATCTGTTCCAGCGTTTGAAAATAATACCAAAAAAAAACCACACAGGAAGCCCCCCCATCAGCAGGCACTGGGGTACAAAAAACAAGCAAAAATAAACAGAACAAGGCCCAAAGGCTGAAAAAAAAAGAAGCAATCCCCAGGCTGGGACTGCTAAAACAACATAGCACAAAAACATAACCCCCCTCAGCCAAAACCCACTCTCCAAAACCCACCCAGAAGTTTCTAAAAAGGAAAAAGCAGCACCTTACAAGGCAGACTGAAGCCTCCTCCTGTGCCACCGCCACACATCGTGTCCACAGAGGAGCCCCTCTGACCCGCGTGCCTCAGGCCAGCGTTTTTATTATTTTATTTTATTTATTTGATTTATATCCC